TATGCAGGCTCAGGTAATCTGTCCTTTGAGTTATTAATTTACGTACGTGCATGTTTAACATTAGGTATAGGTAAATATACATATAAAAATATACATATAAAGAAAATCTGTAAGTCTGATTGAGTGATCCACATTCAGAAATCACACACACATTATAAATTAGTATTAAATTATGGTTACAGTACAATTTCCTTTTGTATGATCCTATTAGGCTTAGAAGAAAGAAAATATAATAGAAGAGAATAGACTTTGTTGTACACGATTAATAATATAGTACATGTATACAAAATATATCAATAGTTTATAATAATCTATTAGTATACTTCATTTAACGAAGAACGAAGATAAAATTGTATGGTTGCTCTTTATTAAAAAAAAAGGTGGGATCAAAATCATAAAATTTATTGTTTATAAAAACAGTTCTATTTTTTGTGACGCCTTTTTAGGAGGTAATAAGAGTGATTTTTCTGCTGCGCTTAATTTTATATATGAATGACAGGTAATCAGAATTTGACGCACGGTGTGGACACCGGTGACGCACGGTGACGCACGGTGTGGACACCGGTGTGGACACCTTGTTGAACTTGAACACAGGGAAGATAATATTGTGTGCCTTCCCATATTCTAATAGTTTATCATGTTCTAAAAACAAATACATAGGTGTACTAAATAATACACTACACCAAATGACATGTCACAATGACAGACTTTTATTTTTTGACACTAATAAATTTATTAGTACTTTTGTTTTTACAAAGAAAGGTGTACACCTTTCAAATAAATGTCGACATAAAATTGCTATGCTGATAGCATATAATATTAACACTGTTATAACTTGTATAACAGAAAATAGTTTTAAGGACGAATCTGTGTTGTCTAGAGTGTCTAACAGCACAGAGGCACATTTTAATTTAAGTTTAAACTAGATTTTAAGACAACAGAACATACCTTCATAAATCATATAAATAATAAGGTATATTCTGGCAAGGAAAAAGCACAGTACAATTATACTCAGGGGCAGCACAATCTACAATTATTTTATATTAACATTCAGGGCTGCTCCTCAAAAGTCTTTGAATTAGAGATGTTTCTGGAAAAGACTAAATTTGATGTAATTTGTCTATCAGAACATTGGCTTAAGGAGGACCAACTAATATCTTTAAATTTAGATAATTATAATGTAGTTAGTAATTTCAGTAGAAAGCATATGTTACATGGTGGGTCCTTAATATTAGTAAAAAATAGTATTAAATCAAAAGGAAGGAAAGACATTGTAGCACTGTCAGTTGAACACACCATTGAGTTGTCCTGTGTTGAGCTGGATAGACATGTTATTGTCTGTGTGTATAGGCCACCTAACTATCAGAATCTTACAGTATTTGATTCTGTCATGGAGGATGTTTTAAGAAAGGTTTGTTCTAGTCACAAATCAGTAATTATATGTGGTGATTTTAATATTAATTTATTAGAAAATAGTACTAGTAGTATGGAATTGTTAAATTTATTTGGATCATTTAATTTAAAAAATGTTTTTTTAGAACCAACAAGGATAACATCCTCTACCGCCACCTGTATTGATAATGTTTTCTGTAATTGTGACTACAAAGAAAAACATATTATAAATAGCTTGCCATCCGACCACTGTGGACTAATGGTTGCGTATAGCTCTTATTTACCTATCCTAAAAATTCAAATAAGATATAGACAAATCACGTTTAAAAATCTGGAGAAATTGAGCAATTCTTTAGCTACTAAATTATGTATGAAAGTATTTGATACTAGTAATCTGAATAAATTCTACAATGATTTCTTTGAGATGTTAAACAAGGAATTTAACAATATTTTGCCAATAAAAAATAAAGATATTCATACCAAATTTGTATTTAGCGACTGGGCAACTGTAGGTATTCGTAAGAGTAGGGACAGACTTTTTGAACTTTATGGAATGAAACCGTACAAAAATGACCCCCAATTTCACCAGTATGTAACATCTTATTCAAAAACCTTTAGAATAGTATGCAGAGTCGCGAAACGTCTTTATATTAGTAATAAAATAAAATCGTCTGATGATAAGATAAAAACTACTTGGAAAGTTATACACAACGAGACCGGTAGGAAAAGATTAAGAAACTCAGAATTTAATTTAAATACCGAAAGGGGACAGATTACATCAAACGTAGATGTAGCCCAGGAGTTTGAAAATTTTTTTACTAGTATTCCTATTAAAACAACTGAACATTTAAAGTCATCAGCAAACCTCTCTGTAACTTTGCTTAAGAACAACATAGAATCATGTCAATACGACTTTAGTTTTCGATATACGAATCCTCTAGAAATTATAAAAGTTTTTAAAGAAATCAAGACTAAATCAACGGAGGATCTTTGGGGCTTATCGGTAATGGTTTGCAAGTCACTTATCCAAACTGTAGCGCCATATCTGGCTGTGATTTTCAATAAATGTATAGATGACGGTGTTTTCCCTGACCTAATGAAATATAGTAAGGTTATCCCACTATTTAAAAGTGGTGACACTAAAGAACCTAACAACTATAGGCCAGTGTCTGTTTTACCGGTTCTCAGCAAAGTCTTTGAAAAGTTGATGCTGTCTCGGATGCTTCATCATTTTAATAAACATTCCATCTTTCACCAACAACAATACGGTTTCACTAAAGGTCGTTGCACAACTGACGCCGGTGTCACTTTGATTAAGGAAATATTTGGTGCTTGGGAGGAAGCACAGGATGCTATTGGTGTATTTTGTGACCTCTCAAAAGCATTTGATTGCGTTGACCACGAAACACTTTTGCTGAAATTAGATCATTACGGGATAAGAAACTCTGCGCTCCGTCTTATGAAATCTTATTTAGAAGAAAGACAGTTAAAGGTTCATGTTAACGGTATTAACTCACAGGGCTCTGGGATGAATATGGGCGTTCCTCAAGGTTCAATATTGGGTCCCTTTCTCTTTTTAGTCTATATAAATGATTTGCCATTTATATTTAAAAATGAACCAAGAATGGTGCTTTTTGCAGATGATACATCATTAATTTTTAAAGTAGATCGACGTACAAATAATCTTGACGACGTAAACAGCTCCATTCTTCAAGTGCATAATTGGTTTACCATTAATAATCTAGCACTTAATGAAAAAAAAACAAAATGTATTAAATTCAGTTTACCAAACGTGCGTAGTAACGATTGTGATATTGTTTTGAACGGTCAAAAGTTAGAATTTGTCGACGAGACAGTATTTTTAGGCATTACGTTAGACAATAGGCTACAATGGGGTCCGCATATAAAGGCGCTTTCGGGGAGATTGAGCTCAGCTGCTTTTGCAGTTAGACAGATTAGACAGCTCACGGACGTGGATACAGCTAGGCTTGTCTATTTTAGTTATTTCCACAGCATTATGTCGTACGGCATTTTGTTGTGGGGTCGAGCTGCAGAAATAGAATCAATATTTATTCTGCAAAAGCGGGCTATCCGAGCAATATATAACTTACGCCGTTGCGAATCGTTGAGAGAATTGTTTAAAACGATAAATATTTTAACGGTGCCCTGTCAATATATATATGAAAATATAATGTATGTAAGGAAAAATAGGCAATTGTTTGAAAAAAGAAGCGATAGACACAATTTTAATACTAGAGGCAAAAATAAGTTAGCTATACCGCAATTCAGACTGTCCAAAGTACAGAAATCCTTTATGGGGTTAGGTATTAAATGCTATAATAAAATACCAAATAGCATACTAGATCTCAATGAAAGTAAATTTAAAACATATATTAAGCGCGAATTATGTAATCAAGCTTACTACACACTGACAGATTATCTTGAAGATAAGAATGCTTGGCAGCATGTTGGTTCGGCTCCACTGGACAATACTCAAATGTAGTCAGTAGTTAAATTGCAATAGTAGGTAATTTAATACATAATTTAATACTTTAATTTTAATGTAGACAATCTAGTTTCCTTATGGCATCGAGCATTTCTTTCTTTATTGAAACAAAGAGTTTCCTTTTTCTTGTATAGAAGCACTATTTTTATGGATTGTCAGTATGCGTATGTGAGCACCATGTTGGACTTAAGATCTTCATTATTTTTATTTTTATTTTTATTTTAGTAAGTTAGTAGTATAATGCGTCAAGCGTGTCTTTGCATTGTTCTTACATATGCGTACAGTATTGAAATATGTATCAGAGACATTGTAGAACATACTTTTTTAAAAGAGTAACGAATGGAGTTTCTTGCTCGTTCTTCTCCATTCGAATCTACGTTTTGGAATGAGCACCTAGCTTCACCTAGCTTCACTGACGGACTGACTGACAGACTATTATTTATTTTGTATTTGTTGACGTTTCAAAAGTACCAAACTATGGTTTAATTGAAATAAATGCTTTGACTTTGACTTTGACTTTGACCTACGGGAATGCGAGTGAAACCAATAACAGAAGCTAGTATTTATATGAATTTTTCCACTACTCATATCATCGTTATCAGTATTTTATGTGTGTTTACTACTTTCTCCGTCTTATGTTTTCCATTTCTAACTGTATCCGCATTATAATAGGTTCCACATGTCTCATTATATTTATCAGGAAAGTGTCTAATTATATTACAAACTCCAAGTTCATCAAAATAAACATTTACTTTATCTGGGTGTTCATCGACTTACTATACGTCTGATAAGTATCAGAGCAATGTAAAACAGACTTTTTTTTAAAAGAGTAACGAATGGAGTTTCTTGCTCGTTCTTCTCCACTCGAATCGACATTTTGGAACGAGCTCCTAGCTTCACTGACGGACAAACTGACAGACTATTATATATTTCATATTTGTTGACGTTTCAAAAGTACCAAATTATGGTTTAATTGAAATAAATGCTTTTGAGTTTGAGTTTGAGTTTGCAAGCAAACCCATGGACAGAGCCAGTAAATCAGGCTTGGTATAAATATTGTCATTCACACAAGTTTTAGTCCAGTTGCGTGCGTCTACAGTGTCATAAGTTGAAGTTTTAATTTTTATAATATTTTGTGTTAGGTATATTTCTTATTGTTATATGTGATTTTAAGGTACGTGTTTTTGTGTTTTTTTATTTATATATATGTGTCAATCTTTATTGTTTTGTGATAGTTTACTTCAAACAATTTTATTACAATCAAAATTAATAACCGATGTATGTCTATGTAAAATCTGTGTATCGAGATAGATTTTCGACGTTATTAATGCCAAAAATGTAGGTATATCGACCGAGAGGTTTGTGATACGAATCCGTAAATAATTTTGGCTGTAAAATCACCAACTAATCAGTCTTCTGGGTACTTTCCCTATTGACGTCGATGCGGACGAATTTTTTGATGCTCTTTGTAAATAGCTATTTATCTTTTATTAAATTTTTATCTTTTAGTTATAGTGTATCTTAGGTAAGTGGTACATATGTATTTATTTATTCAAATAAATTATATGTCTAACGTAAATAATATTGAATAATGTTAAAAATCGATTTTATTTCATTTTAGAATAAGATTAAGTTTATAAGAAAATCGTCTATTAGAAGAATAAAACCCATACATTGTATGGCAGGCGTTTTGTATTTTAATAATATAGTCACCACCCATTTATATATTATAAATTAGGATTTATTAAGTATGTGCCATAATAATTATGTATTAGTATCTTGATTTCATCTTTATTTTTCAGAGGGGATGGAAAAAATAAATAACAATAATCTATAAGAGAAAACGCAGAAAATGAATGCGACATCAGCTGTGCTTGGAATTCAAAAAATTCAAGGGGCCTTGAAGATATTGGCTGCGTTGCAGTTGACTGCGTATCTGTGGCCACAACAAGCCCAAGTTCAAGGTTTACCTCTCTTTTACTTGATAAAAAAACGCAGAAATAATAAATATGGCCGCCAAAGATTGATATTTATCGATTAATATTATGACAGTGAATGACATTCCGTTTTTATGTTCAAGTAATCAAGTTTAGTAATCAAGTAATCAAATATTTATTGCATCCATAACGTACATATATAGTATAGGTGGTTAGAAAATACAATTGGTATTAATTTATGGACCCTGTCGGGCACAGCAACATTTAAAATTGGTAGGAGAGAGGAAGTTAATCAAATAAAGGAGGTATGCTTGTTTTCATCGACTACTACAAAATCATCTCATAACTAAGACATACTTAGCATGAGAGAGTAACTAAATCAGACCTTAACCTGTACAATCCAGCCGCGGAGAACGTAAACAGTTGCCGGGGCTCCGGCTCTAAGTGCAGGAGTAGGAACAGGGTGGATTTTAGTCAGTAAGAGTCTGACACTCCCTCCCGCTTCACCCAGGCAGGAGAACATTCGATGATTTTCCCTCTAAAAAAAAAACTTATAGATTGGTGCAAACCAAAATGTCTTTAAGTGCCACCTATTGCCATAGACATACTTAAGACAGGTTTAATGTACTCGTTTTGTTTTTTCTAAAACATCTACATAAATTAAAATTAATAGCCGAAAAACAAATGTATGTGCATGCGTAAATTCTGAACGATTACACCACATCCGGTATTTTATTGTTGTGTGATTGTAGCCACGACACTCTGTTTAGGCAATAGGTCGCACACTAATTCGATAAATATCTATCATCTAATATACTAGGGGTAATCCAAAGTAATGATAATCAATAATAACTAGTAGGTAACTGACCAAGTGACTGTACTATTTTTTTTGTATTTTTGTGTGCACTAGAAATAACTGATTATCATTACTTTTGGATCACCAATTATGATATCGAGCCCATTTTATTATAGATGATGCTAGTAAGATTGTGAACTCAAGGAATACTCTCAATTATACTACTTCCTTCACACTGATATTAAAGCTGTTTGTGAGCATGTGTTTGTTATTTTACTATTTAACTTAAAACGGCTGAAGGGATTGAAATGAAAAAACAATTATACCACGGGAACGCAAGCGAAAGATGTAGGTACATGAAATTGAGAAACGTTCAATATACACTCAATTTTCAACGCTGAATGGAGTAATTTTCCAAATACATTTAACAAAGACTGCCTCTAGTGACTGCCCAATAGACTGCCTCATTGGCTGTGTAGTCGCAAGTGCGACTGCCGGGCAAGGGGTCTCGAGTTCGATTCCCGGGTCGGGCAAAGTATTACTGGGTTTGTAAAAAACCTCAGTAGTAGCACGGAGTCTGGAATTGTGCCCGGTATATGGCAAAAGGCTCACCTCCTATTACATGGGACTCATAACATAAATAGTGAAAAGTGGGTGGTACATTGTACAGTGACATAATGTACACCTCTGCCTACACCGTCGGGGATAAACGGCGTGATGTGATGTTATATTTTAGTGTTAGAAACAAGCTGTTAGCGGAAAACTAGTGGAACATAAGTTGTAAAAATAATTAAAAGATTTTTTTGTTAACAGATGGTGCTTGTTTCGACTACATTATTGTCGGCGCAGGATCAGCTGGCAGTGTCATTGCTAATAGATTGACGGAGCTCGAAAAAGCCACAGTTTTGCTAATCGAGGCTGGCGGCGACCCTCCTGTTGAATCTGTGGTAAATAACCATTAACTTGTTCACTTTCAATAGCTAAACTTGTTTGTACAAAATAAATCTTTAATTATTCGAAATTAGGGCTATAATCGAGTGGTGTGTGAGAACAAAAAATATAAACATTCTTGTTATATAGGTACGTGTCGGCTTAGAAATTAAAATGAAAAAAAAAATTCTTTGCTTTTTTAGGTCTTATAATAAATTGATAGCCAGAGACACAAAGACAACCCAAAAACAGCCGACCTATTTTTTAATGCCTCTTACATATTAGCTATCTATAACCTATCTATTTATGAGTATACAAATACATAAGTCCAAATAATCACTCCTTCATAAATTTACACTCAATAACTTCTTAAAAAACAGACAGACCATGGTAACTGTTATTACACCAATAGGGTAGACGACAAATTTTTATTTTAATGTCCGTCTGGTAGATTACTTTAAATCATTACACACGTATTTTTTATTTTCTTACAGAAACGAATACTTTCGACGATATATTGATTTGAAATGTCGTGTGACGTCACTTTTATGTACATTTTATACGTAGAAATGACGTTTTAGCCCCCACTCCTAAACTTTGATTCGTTTTATCTAAGTATTGTTTTATTATACGACAAAATAAAAAAATACGTGTCTAATATTTTTTAAATACCTAACTTACGGACTAATTAGATTTTTAATTTTCATACCCTGTCGTCATCCCAATTGAAGTAAATTGATCATGTCTTCCTTACTAATATCGCCTGTAGGCCAAAATAGCGTCCCAGAATTAACTACAACTACAATCTATCACTATGCATACATATTTTACGGTTATGCGTACATGCATACTAACAAGTCGAAGCAAGTCAATCTATATTAATTCATGCAAAGTAATTATATAATAGATAGATAAATAAATAGATAGCTATTGCAAAAAAACGCATCAAAATCCGTTGCGCAGTTTTAAAGATCTAAGCATACATAGGAACAGACAGACGGCGGATAGCCACTTTGTTTTATACTATGTAGTGATGTATAATAATTATCATCACAAAACATCAATTAAAATCTAAAGTAAAACAAATGTTTTAAACATACATTATCATACCACATATATGCGCCGGTAGAGGTCATTTGATAGTCTAAGTGATCTTGGTTTATTATGGCATGAAGCCTATGTATGGCGCCATACTAATTGCTAGACATCGAGCCAATTCCAACCTCTATTAATAGTACTGTTACTTCGGAGAATTTAGAAATCGAAGCTCCCAATTAATGTTTTGCCCATCCGAGGATCTAAGTCAAGACCTCGTTTATACCGATCGTGTTTACCATTAATTATTTTATATTCCATTCCAGATACCAGGATTACTAACATTTATGAAGAATACAGAAGTTGATTGGAATTATGAAACAGAAAACGATGGATATAGTCAACAATATCACAAAAATTATGGAGTAGAACTGACGAGAGGGAAAATGCTGGGAGGATCCAGTTCAATAAATTTTCTAGCTTACACGAGAGGCAACTACCATGACTTCAACAACTGGGCTAAGTTGACTGAGGATGAATCTTGGAGTTGGGAAAATGTTCTTCCGTATTTCAAAAAAAGTGAGAGGTTAGTCGACCCCGTCATGCTCCAATCAAGTGCTAGGAGGTTTCATGGAACTGATGGATATGTAGCCACGACTAGAAAATATAATGAAGAAGTTTTGAGGTACTTTGAAGCCTTTGAAGAAGTTGGAAACAGAATTGTTCTGGATACAAATGGTGACACCCCTCTTGGTATTACTGAATGCATGTTTAATATTGGTAATGGTATCAGACAAAGCACAGCTCAATCATTTTTACATCCAATTAAGGATCGACCTAATTTATTTGTTCTCAAAAACACGTTGGTATCAAAAATCCTCTTCGATGAAGACAAGAATGCTATTGGTGTGGAAGCTATATTAGAAAACAATGAAGTTGTACAGTTTAGAGCTGATAAAGAAGTTATAGTATCAGGTGGTGCTATTAATACGCCACAATTATTGATGCTTTCTGGTATAGGTCCCAAAGAACATTTAGAAAGTCACAATATACCAGTTATTTCTGATCTTCCTGTGGGTCAGAGTTTACAAGACCATGTCATGGTTATGATGGCCCATAAAATGGGCAAATCTCCTCCACCAAAACCAGTAGATCCCTTATATATCGCAAGTCCACTGATGATGGGATACACGAGTTTGAACAAAAGTAAAAATTATCCAGACTATCAGTCCATTAACTTTATTATGAACGAACCAACTCCTATGTTGCAATTTTGTTCTTTCTATTACTCTTACATCGATGAAATATGTCAAGCGTTGTATAACGGAAGTATTGGGAAAGAAGTATTATTCAGTTTAGTGATATTATTATACCCAGAGTCTAGAGGAAAAATATTATTACGAAGCACCGATCCAAAGGAGAAACCCATAATTTACACTGGCTATTATTCTGACCCAATAGATTTGGAAAGGCATGCATCGTATGTGGAAGATTTTGCGAAGATTAAACACACAGAGTTTTTTGAAAACGTTAACGCTGAAAGAGTTGTGCCAGAAGTGTGTGGATGTGAGAATAAGTACTCTACTGAAGAATATTGGAAATGCTATGCACTGTGTATGATGGTGTCTGGGTACCACTACACTGGGTCAGCGGCTATGGGAGTTGTGGTTGATTCTCGTCTAAATGTCTTTGGAGTACAGAAGCTTAGGGTCGCGGATGCCAGTGTAATGCCAAAGATTACTGGAGCCAATACAAATGCTGCGACGATTATGATTGGAGAACGAGCAGCAGATATAATCAAAGAAGACCATTTCTTAAGGTCTAGATGTTAGATTTAACAAATTATTTATTAGTTTATCTCAGTTAGCTAATTTGCTTTATCGGATGAGGTGGCACAAAGCAGACGGATGATGATGTCAAGCACTCGGTGCCGCCGATGGACACCATATCAGGGTTATTTCTCACAAAAAAAAACGGCTTGAAATATTTTATTTCTTAGCCGTGAGGTGTGAGTTAATAGTCATACACACGGAGTGAAGAAGAATGTGTAGAGATCGTTTAGTCAATTTTACTGTTTTAATAAAATAATATATTATTTAATAATGTAAGTTTCTTTTTCATTTTTATCACTAAGATTTTTCTGTATTTGAGTGTTTCTTCATAAAAGTTTAACCTTTATTTAAGAAATCTTTATCCTCCCGCGTTGTTAAGCATCACAGTAACTTATTAGCATCTGTATTTTATTGCATTGGGTGAGAGCAGTGACATGGCTCAATTTTTTGAAACTAAACTTTGTATTTTAATCAGCAGAATTGTTAACTGTGGCTTAAGGATAATGACGCTGTTAATTGTTTGTTTTTTTTTTGAAGAATCACCCATTTCCTAAACTAACAAATGCCAATGTGTTAACGATTACATCAATCTCAAATGTTATTACCATACACAAGATACGATTTCATACTGTGTGCTATTATTTAGATTTTTGGACAACAAAACGTAAAGGTACTCCAAAAAACAATAGTGTCACTCGTAACTGCGCAACCATAAGGCAGTTAGTACCACGGTAAAATAATTACTTACATTCATTAATTTTATAGGTTTTCATTCAAATGCTTGTTTGTTGATAATAATGTATTTAAAATGCTAGATAAAAGGTCTAAGGAAATTGTTATTTATACTGTATTAACATTATTACACACCCACTGTGATGACATCGTTTTTTATGATTATTTTTATTTAGAGCTTTTTCTTCAACACTTTACATTCTGTGCTGTATCTACCTATACGATATAAAGCATGGCTTTGACACAACTCCAACCCAGCAATTAAGTTGTCATTTAAATATTAACTTTAAATTGTATGTCGTATGACATATTTCGGGGGTGAACGTTTTTGAACTGTTTCCAAAAATGCCGTACCGGAGACATGAGAGAGTGGTACTTGTTAAGTGTGTGATGATCTCATAGCGATTAATGTTCATACCTGCTCTTTATGAGAAGAGGCCTTTGTACAGTAGTATGTACACATAGAAGGTCGATGATGATGATGATGATAAGTAAAGGTTTAGGGATAAGTATAATATCAGTATTATAATGTAATAGTACAGGTTACCAAAACGATGACACGATGATTCTAAGTAGCATTACAATTTCAAAAGTCAAAAATCCATTATATACTTCGCCAAGTCCAAGAATGAACAGAAGTCTTGAATTGGGCAGTAACTTATATTTTCCTTACACCACAAGCGCTGACATGGTTTACTTTTGAAATGAATCAGTTTCTTGTAACTACACAAACAAATATTGTAAATAATAAAAGTATTACGAAAGACCAGGTGAAGTCCAATTACGTTAACCACATACTTAATAAAAAACGGGTTTTTTGCATTACGCAGATTTTGAGATCATGCCTCATTCAGGTCGAAGTTTCTACCTACATTTATTTCTTAACACAATATATTATTGTAAATCAAGTCCATTGAGTAGTCCAAATCGAAATCCTCCTATAAAATAGTACCGATTTCGATTAAATATAGCAATGAGATGATATTTAGTAAGAATAGATATTGTTTTAATTATTATTCTAAAGTCGTAACTTCCTTGTACCAGAGATACTTTCTTCGTTCTAATGAGTGTGGTTGGTGCAGCCATTGAGTAATTGACTGTTATATAATACACCACAGAAAGGCAAACGAGCAGACGAATTACCTGATGGTAAGCGATCAGCGCCGACCGTGTACACCCACAACACCAAAGAGCCGCAGGTGCTTTGCCGGCCTTTTAAAAAGGAATGCGCTCTTTTTTTGAAGGTTTGAATTAGTTCGTAAATATCGCCGAAGACAAATCATTCGATAATTTGGCTGTGCAAGATAGAAAGCTACGAGAGAAGCGTACAGTAGTGGCCTGCCAACTATATTTATCTTGGGGATGGATATGCTGTAGTAAAGATGCGGCAGATATCAGACCAAACTGTACGGTTGGTGCGGAGGTTGGGCAACTGGCTGCCGCGCGGAACAACTCTTTTTGTGATCTACAGATTGTTTTTCCGGGTCTGGGTGTCATGTGTACGTGAACTTGTATATTTGTAAACGCACCCACGATACACAAAAATAAAAAAAAAATCCTCAGGGCAATCCCCGTGGTATAAGCGATAGAAGATGCACAACGAAGCTACATCTCTATGCATTGCCAATTATGTAGGATCAAAGTGTATGTGTAAACGTACTGAAGAAAAATCTTTGTAAGTAAGAAATATAACATAACATAACGCTTTTTATCCCCGAAGGGGTAGGCAGAGGTGCACATTACGGCACTTAATGCCACTGTACAATGTAACACCCACTTTTCACTATTTATGTTAAGAGTCCCATGTAATAGGGGGTGAGCCTATTGCCATATACCGGGCACATTTCCAGACTCCGTGCTACTACTGAGATTTTTAAAAACCCAGTAATACTTTGCCCAACCCGGGAATCGAACCCGAGACCCCTTGCCCGGCAGTCACACTTGCGGCTCTCGGCCAACGAGGCTGTCTCAGTTAGTAAGAAATATTATTTCCAAAAAAAACATACTGGTTTGACGCAACCTGTATTCATTCATGTAGACGATTGTAGGTATATAAAGATTAAAACCGTTTTGCAATATTATTAAAGATAAACTCTCATATTTCAAAAATAAAATTACAAACTATTTTTACGAAATTACATAAGAACTACATCTTATGGCTTAATGTAATTATTCTTACGTGGGTATCAGATCATTTTAAAACATTATAGGTGCCTTTTTGCTTAAAAATGTAGGTATAATTTAGCCAAAACCTTATGGAACGTAATAAAAACTTAAGGTTCTGACGTTTGAAGGTCTCCATATAAAACGATCGATAAACAGTCATCGACCCTAATTTATTCACTATAAAAATAAATAAAAATAAACTTTATAAAGGTGTAACCACACGTATCTTGCACTTAGCTTCACTGACGGACAGACTGACAGACTATTATTTACTTCTTTATTTGTTGAAATTTCAAAAGTACCTTTTTATTGTTTAGTTAGACGCTTTGACTTGTTTAAAGTAGATGACAATTTTCAATGTTGATTTAAAATAATTTCATTTAATACTGTTAACAAAGCAGGTTAGTTTCATTCCTAGTATACTGCGGGTCAGAGCAGGACTTTGAAAGAAGTGGTTCAGTTTAGTCTGTAAGAGTCTGACACACAAGAGAAGAAATACATGAAATTTCTTCTCTTCTCTAAAGGAGAAAAATCATCAAACGCTGGGGGTCAACAATTTTGCACACATTTAGGCGTACGATAGAAGAATATACGGGAATAACTGCGAATAAAAACTATTAAATTATTAACAATGATATTATTCGATATATTTGTTTCTTCTAATATTTGAAACGCCGGGATTGTCCACTCTCTCGTCTTTTGAAACGTCAACAAAGATAAAATAAATAATATTCTGTCAGTGTGTCCGTCAGTGAAGCTAGGCGCTCGTTCCAAAATATAGATTCAAGTGGAGAAAATCGAGCAAGAAACTCTATAATATATACAGTGAAACCTGGTTAAGTGAGACATCAAGGGACCTGCAATGTCGTTTCACTTAAAGAGGTATTCCACTTACCCAGTGTCTCAGATATACAGGTATATAAATATCTGTCTCATTTACAGAGGGTTCGATTAATAGAAGTGGACTTGGAATTACGTGTGGAATTTGTGGGCAGAATAAGAATGAGTGAACAAACAATGTTATCTCAGTTACAGAGGTTTATGCATATAAAATTTACTCGCTGTCTCAGTTATAGAGGTAACTATAATGATAATCGAAATAACAAATCCCAGATATAGAGGTTTACCTCATCCTACTAACAGAGGTAATTCAGTGCCAAAGTGTTGGGACCTCAGCATGAGTTCCAGTTATGGAGGTTTCTCACTTATCCAGGTCCCACTTAACCAAGTTTCACTGTACTCCATCTGATGAAGCACGTCTGCCCATAAGCAACCTACTACCTCGGGCCTTGAAGACGCCCAAATTGTCTTCAGGAAACACAGACTCCGGCAAGGAATTCCACTCCTTAGCAGCACGCACAAGGAAGCTTAAAAATGTATGACCAATTCTAAACTGTATGTTTAGTGTGGTACTGTCCTAAAACATTTTCAGTTTTTCAGTTTGACGTAGTTTAAGGTATACGATTAATCGTGTCAAACACTGTAGAGTAACAAAACTTAATTAAAGAACAGCGGGAAATTGATTTACATAACTCTCCCCTTACGAAGGCCTAATTACCCTCCCCTTCCTCAATCCCCAACAATCCTCAAACTCCTAATCCCCAAAAGGCCAGTAACGTACTTGTAACGCCTCTGATGTTTCAGGTGTCCATGGGCGACGCTGATTGTTTACCGGCTTATGCCATAAAAAAAATAAACAAAGCCATCTACATCTCGTTTTTACTACATTTATTTTCATAAGTGGATTTTTCTTCCGGAGCTACTGACAACCTAACAAGTTACCGGGGTTCCAGTTCAAAGCAGGTGACATTCCCTCTCGTCTCATCCAAGGCGGGAGAAGTCATTAGATGATTTTTCCCTGCTTAAAAAATAGATGTTTCTTAGATATTTTTAAACTTTCAATACAATGATTTCTCAGCTAATAGACAAATGATTTTAAATTGTTAATTTCAAAATATGGACTGAGCAGACTAACACAAGCAATGCATTCGTCAGAACTGCCCCAAATGTAGTAAATAGAAAAGTAAATGTATGAGCTTGAAGCCAAAAACTTTGTCATCAATGGTCAAGGATCAAAATCGTATGAATTGACTTTATAATATTTTGATTGACAGTTAGACAATTGTTTGTCTAACTATCAATCAAATGACAGTTAGACAAACAATTATCTAACTGAACTCGCCACGCTACCGCCTGTACTTCATTCCACGCTACGTCTATCACTAAGAACGATCTCTACAATTT